CTGGGCAGGATCCTGTATCTGGGACTTAGGATGGTGGCCTGCCACATGGCCTACCAGCCCTGGGAGCCGTCTGCGGCAACTTTGCCTCGTTGCCTGCTTTGGATCCACTCAAATCTGCCTCCACCAGCCTGTGTCTTTCCATCTCCTAGTTCACCCTCCTGCATTCTGGTCCATTTTCTGGCTTCCTGGTTCCCCAGAGCTGACAACTGCTTGAGTCAGGAAGGGTATCTGACCCATGGACTTAAGCCGCACTGAACCTGTTGCTCTGCAGCTGTGTAGGCTGCGTTCTTGATATAAATGTCTTTATTACACATGTGTTTCTCCAGAAATCCCCAGACTAACACACACACCTGGCAGCATATGCAAAATTTAACTCAAAATAGATCTAGGGCTACACATCAAGGCCTAAACCGATAAAACTTCCAAAAGAAAATAAAGGGGGATGTCTTTCTGGTCTTGGGTTGGACAAAGTTTTTTTAGAAACAACACCAAAAACCACAATGTATAAGAGAAAGATTTTAAGGTGTGTCTCATCAGTGTTTCAAGGCCAGTCTCTAAAGGTTACTGTTAAGTCAGTGAGAGTCGAACCACAGACAGAGGAGGAGGAAATCGTCTCGAAGGTAAACAGCGGCACCTCTGGGAGCCCGCGTCACCGAGACAACCTTGGTTCTCCGGGTCCCGCACGTTTCCTGGGTTTGACGGGGTGAGGTTTTGCCACTCTTCTACTAATCGCTCCAAATGGAGTCTTCGAATTTCTCTTCCCTGACAGGTTTCTGCCTGATTCAGGTTCCAGCGTTTGCAGGTTTCACTATATCTGATCGAGGGCTTAGATCTAGATTGTACAAAGAACCCTTCCCATGAAATAAGACAGGCACTCCAGTTAGAAATGCCAAACGAAGAAGCACACAGCCTGTGTGACCACAAGGTGTCGAAGGGATTTGAAATATAACAGTATATGAAAATTTTGAAATAGGACACAATCGATTTGAAATACAGCGTAACATAATATAATATCACTGGCCCAGTGTGTAGACAGGCAAACTACTTCCCCTCCTCGGGGCAATATCAAGGGCCCAACCTTTTCCAACTTTGTCTTCAGAATATCCTTTGATTGAGAAAACTCAATGTGCAAATGTAGCTAATGAGAGGGAAAGGGGCAAGTGCAGGGATCTCCTTTGAGTGTGTATCTTATGGCGGCATTGTTATTTATAAAGGAACCTTGGAAACTACATAAAGACGTGTCAAGTGTCAACGGAGGAGACATTTGAGTTTCTTGGAAAATTCCACGTGCCGACAAATGAAAACTCACATCTTCTGCACAAAGTCCGGTATCAGAAGGTTGCAGAAGCTTTGCGTGCCAAAGCTCCAGACCAGAACCCACTACATCACCCCTCAGCGGCCGGACGGTCACATGCACCGTGATCCCTTCAGGCCTAGCA